CTTATCGCCATAGGAGAGTTTTGTTTATTTGTTTGGAATTTCGCGCAAAGCTACACGAGGGCTATCTGCGCTATTAGAGGAGAGAGAGAGAGTACTCATGTGCAAGATGAACGGGAAGTATACGCCATAAAAAATTACATCACTCCGAATTTCGCACTCTTATTACCAAACGCATTTCCTTTCACCTGTAATTATTTTTTCTCACCTTATATTAAATTATTAATAATGGTATACAATTGTGGCAAGTTTAATAGTAACTGCCAAGCCTGTTATTTTTCGTGAAGTAATGATATTTTCTGTTTCTTAGCTGGCTTGATTATTCAGATTATCTCCTGCAAAATTTACGTTTAATTATATAGGATACACTAGCTTATAATGACAAGTTTTAATTTTCACTCGCGTTAAATAGGTAGTGAAAAACTGTGAAATTCCAAAATACAACTATATAACTTAAAAGTATACGGAATGTAATAAAGCAGGTTTAACTGTCCTTAAAAAATATACAAGATCTGTTTGTTTGTAGTTAAGCGCAAAGCTACACAATGGGCTATCTGGGCTTTTCCCACTACGGGTATCGAAACCCGATTTTTAACGTTGTAAGCCCTCAGACTTACCGCCGAGCCACTAGGGAGCAAATAGTAAAAATATATTTATAAAAGAAACAACAACTGACTAGATTTAGATGTAAAAAAACAACAACAAACAATGTAAACAGTTTCATGTTCTAACAAAGATTTTATACTTAAAGTAAGCAAACAGCATCAAATCCAACAAAGCATGCTGTAAAGATTCTCCAATGAGGAATAATGGAGTATGTCACATAACTAAGTTTTTGACAAAAATAACAGAAGTTAAAAAAAATCGCAATGGTGAATTGTACAACTTCAAATGTGAAATAAGTTTTGAATTTCGCGCAAAGCTACACGAGGGCTATCTGCGCTAGCCGTCCCTAATTTAGCAGTGTAAGACTAGAGGGAAGGCAGCTAGTCATCAACACCCACCGCCAACTCTTGGGCTACTCTTTTACCAACGAATAGTGGGATTGACCGTCACATTATAACGACTCCACGGCTGAAAGGGCGAGCGTGTTTGGTGTGACGGGGATTCGAACCCGCGACCCTCAGATTGCGAGCGCCCTAACCACCAGGCCATGCCGGGGCCTGTGAAATAAGAAAAGAGACGAATAAAGATGTAATATATATATATATATATATATATATATATATATATATATATATATA